GTTTTCACCCGCCAGGCGCGACCTGGCGCGCGACTGTGGGCTCTGGCGGTTTCGCCTGCCCATAGATTCGGCATTCCCTGGATCTTTCAACTTCTCAACGGCCTTCAGCCGTGACCCTGGAACGAAGTGATTTGAGTGACGCGTTTCCGATACGACGTTTCTCTCTCGGGCGCTACCCACGTGCGTGGCGTGGCGCTGGGTCACTTTGGTGACGCACACTCTGCCACGACGTGTTCTTACCGCGTGGCTACGTGCACGTTCTGTGCTCTTACCAGTCGCTGGTCCAAGGGCTCAGGCGCATCTCTGTTGTGGGAGTTTCCTTCACTGGCAACGTTGTTTCCACCTTCGGATGCGTGTTCGGGCGTCGTGCGGGTCCGCCGCCGCCGTCTGGGCTTTTCGGCTGGACTGTGTCACCAGTCAGTCTGTGCTTACCCGTCAGACTCCCTGGATGACGTCCCGCTCGGATTCGAGTCCCACTTGGTCGTATTGATCTGTTGGGAACGCTCGCGCCATTTTGGCTGCGTTCGGCCTCCACGGTGCCTGGTGTCAGACTCCCTGGATGCGCCGTTGCATGTTTCTTTCAGGGGCTGCCCTGCAGACTCCCTGGATTGCACGCTTGGCTCAGACGCCCTGGGTCGCTGCTGCCTGCCGCCTGACCGCGGCCCCGCGCGCGCCCGGCCCGCTTGTCGCGGCCGCAGCCCGACCGTGACCGCCTGCCGCTGGCGCTTCCGCCTGCGGCTGTTTTTTTTAAAAAGGGTTGGGGTGGTCTGGTAGGTCGGCACCTGCGTGCCATCCATGGCGAAGACATGATCGCTCAGGTGAGCGGCCACTGCCGCGCCCTGCGGCGGGAGAGTGCGGACACGGCCGCGCCCTGCGGCGGGAGAGTGCGGACACGAGGCCGCCCCTGCGGCAGCCCCGGTGCTGTGTCCCCCTGCGTGCCATGCGTGCCGAAGACATGATCGCTCGGGTGAGCGGCCGCGGCCGCGCCCTGCGGCGGGAGAGTGCGGACGCGAGGCCGCCCCTGCGGCGGCCCCGGTGCCGCGGAGCGGCCCGCTGCGCACGGCGGCCGCCGCGCCGCCCAGGGCCGGCGCGAGGCCCGTGGAGAGCGGCAGCCCTCGTGAACCTGACGTCGGCGCGCACGAAATGGGTACTCCAGATTTCGTAATAAAAGGGAGGGGGTCTGGACCCTCCAAGACAAGCCATTTCAGACCTCCCCCGTGGGAGAACCCTCCAAAACATCGTCCCCAGACCCCCCAGGCCCTCCAAGATAGCCTGGAAGAGACCCCCCCCCCCCCCGAAATGAGACCCCCTCCCTTTTATTACGAAATCTGGAGTACGGATAGGTGGCCTCCTAACGGAAAGAAGTGGTGCGATGCCCAACATCGGCGGCGGAAAAGAGGGGAGTGATAGCTAGGCCCGTGGAGAACAGCAGCCCTCGTGAACATGACGTCGGCGCGCACGAAATGGGTACGGTTAAGTCGGGCCTGTCCCCCTACAGGGGGATTTCCGACGAAAAATGAGAGAGACCCCCACAATTCACCAAAAAGACAAACAAAAACACAACAGGAAACAGTCCCCGGACTATTTTTGGAGCGTTTTTTGATTATTTTTGGGGTATGTTTTATTTCTCGTCGAAAATCCCCCTGTAGGGGGACAGGCCCGACTTAAGGGTACGGATAGGTGGCCCCCTGACGGAAAGAAGTGGTGCGATGCCCAACAGCACGTCCTGTTCATTTTGAACAGGGCTCGCTGCCGGCGTCGCCGTGGGCGGTGTCCATTTGAGACAGGAGGCCGAATGCCCAACAGCGGCCGCGCCGCTGTCGAGATTGGACAGCATGTGTTGTTTGGCATTGTACCCATCTTTTCCGTACCCGCTTCGGTCGTGCCAATCGTGAACATCAATTTTCGGAGGTCCGCGCGGATGCCTCGGACCCGTGCCAGACCGCCCCCCTGACGGCGCCTCCGGCGGCGCCGCTGGCGCATCTCGCGCGCCGGGGTGAGGTGTCCTGTGCCAATCCAAAAAGTCCGCGCGGACCTCGCAGAGCGTGTGCTCGCGCTGCTGCTTTCTGCTTCCAGGCCCAGGAGCTGGCGGCCTCAGGAGCAGATCCGGGCCGAGCCCCCGTGCGCGGGCTGGGGGAGGGCGCCAGCGTTGACGACCGGGCTGGCGGACTTCCTTCGAGGGCGGTGGAGAGGGCCACCCCGCGGGCGGCGGCGGCTGCCAGTGTGCGGCCGAGGCGCCTCAGCGCGGCAGCGTGTGGTGCACGACGGTCGCCAGCAGCTCGATGCTCGTGGTCGCGCCCGTCCGCCGCCTCCCAACCGAGGTGCACCTCCGAGGGCCAGGGGGCTCCTGGATCTAATAAGCGGGCGCATTGGCCCATCGGGGGCCTCCTGGCGGCGGGCCCTCTGGGGGTCCTGAGTGATGGTGCTCGTTCCCTCCCCGCGGCTCTGGCGCTCTCGCTCGCGTTCAGCATTGCGGTGCTCTCGATCGCGGTGGTGACCT